AGTTTATTTTAGATTTTACTTACTTTTTTCTACTTATTATATATACTTAGAGTTAGATTAAAAGTAATCTACTCTAAGAGAGAGAATAATATTAGGCTCTAGCCTATAAGAGCCTAGGCTAACTTAGCACTAGCTATAAATATCTTAGAATTACTATTATAGCTTAGTAGTAATTTATCTCTAGTTTTTTTAGAATAATATACCTAATTATAGTCTAATATTATATATCTAGTATTTAACTAACTCTATTATTTAATAGTTAGAGTAGTATATTAAGAATACTTTCTAAATATAGTACTTCTTAGATTCTTAGCTAACTTTAATAAAAGTAATAAGTAGAATAGAAAGCTATAGTAGCTATAGAGAGAAAGGCTAGCACTATAGTAAACTTTAAAATCTTCTATAATAGATTAGCTAGTTTTTAGTATAGTAGAGATTTTAATAAGCTAATTAGCTATATCTCTATTATAACGTCTAATATAAAATAAGGCTATCTTACTCTTACTTATAACTAAGTAGCTAAGAGTAAAGAGTAAAGAAAGCTATTAAGCTAATTAGCTATATCTCTATTATAATATCTAATATAAAATAAAGCTATCTTACTCTTTTCTAAGTTAAGGCTATTAGTATTAATATTAGAAAGAAAATTAGTGTACTTTAATAAAGAATATAGAAAGATAGAAGATTTCTTTATCTAAGTTAAAGATAATAGCTATAATATAGTAGCTAAAGATACCTCTTTTATATATTACTATTTCTATACTATACTTTATATAAAAGAATTTCTATAGTTATTATTATAGTTTTAAAGAGTAGGTATAGATATAGATATAGCTAAAGATAATAACTACTATAGGTTCTAGCGCGTAGAAGGCTTAACTTAGTATTATATATTAGAGTTCTTAGCTTATTTATATATATATTAGAGAATAACTACTATACTAGTTTTAGTATATCTTAGAAAAGAGTAAACTACTCTATTAAGCTATATTCTTATATTAATAAGAGTTTCTAATAGTAGCTAGAAGTAGTAGTAAGCTTAGAAGTAGTAGTAGGCTTAAAAAGTATCTACTAGTTCTAGTGTATAGAAAGCTTAGCTTTATATTACTACTTATAAAAAACTTAGCTTAGTATATATTAGAAGAGAGTTACTACTAGTATAGATAACTTTAATATCTTATTAACTTAAACTTATATTAGAAACTTTAGTAAATACTATATCTATAGTAGTAGTAAGAGGTAAGAGATAAAAGTAGTAAAAAAGGTAGCTAGTATAGATAGTATTATAGAAACTATAATATATTTAACTAAAAGCTAACTTATAGTAGTAAAGTATTAAAAGCTATATATAAAAAGATATTAGCTTTAAAGTTAGGCGTTAAGAGCGTCTAGTATTAGAGAGAGAAAATACCTACTATATATTTATTAGTTCTCTAGTTAAAGTCTATTAGTATTTATCTTTACTTTTTATTTCTTTTTAGTAGGTTTAGATAGTAATAACTATAGTATTATCTTTAGAATAAAAAAGAGAACTATAAAGTTATTTTAGAGGTAAAGAAAGAAGCTCTAAGTAGTAATAACTATAAAGTTATTTCTAAAATAAAAGACTATAATAGTATCTTCTCTAATAGTAGTAGAATATAATATAGCTTTTTCTATATTATTATAGTACTCTATTAAATACTCCTTATCTTTCTTCTTTTTATTCTTTTTATCTACTTAATAAAAATAGAATTATTTTTAGTTAGAGAATAAAAAATCTATTAGCCTACTAGCTAGGCCTCTCTAGTAGCTCTACTAAGAGCTTTTCTAGAGACTTTACTAAGAGCTTTTCTAAAGGCTCTATAAAGCTATTTAGAAAAAGTAAACTAAAGTATTAAAGTAATTAAATAATATATCTAAGCTATTACTATATAGTAACTATTAAAGAAAAAAAATCTCTAGTAGTATTTAGATCTAGAGATAATATATATAGTATAAGACGTAAGATGTTAACTAAAAAGAAAGAGTAGTCTTAATATTATCTTTCTAGAAAAGAGTACTACTATTTTTCTTTTTAGAATTATTTTTATTATTATAGCTATAGCTATAGTAGTTATTATTATTATTAATTATATTTAGTAATCTTATTAAAAATAGAAACTAAGCTAAGTTTTCTATATAAGAGATAGTAAGATATTATAGTAAAGTGTTAATATAGAGTAGAGTAATAAAACATAGTTAGTAACTCTATATAGTAATCTTATTATAGGTATATTTTCTAAATACTTTATACTTACTATATATAACTATAAAATTTAATAAAACTTTCTCTCTAATATTTACTATAGATATAGTACTTTAATAATAATAATAATATACTTATAAAGAGTAATAGTAATAAAAGCTTTTCTAGTAAACTTAGAAGTAGACTTAGAAGTAGTAATAGGTAAGCTATAGAGCTATTAGGCTGTAGAATTATTAAAATATTCTTAATTCTAGAATTTAACGTAGAAATAAGCTTTTTAAAGTATAGATGCTAATAGTAATAATAGAAAAAGTAGAAAGTAGAGTAGAAGTTAGAGCGTAGTATAATATAGCCTTTCTCTTAGCTATAGAAGTAGATAGGTAGAATTCTAGGTAGCTACGTAGGTAAACTCTAGATTTAGAGTAATATTAAATTATAGTACTATACTACTATAAAATATAAAAAGATATTTGCGTAAGTAAACTATAGTATAGAAGATAGTAGCTTAGAAAAGAGTATAAAAGGCTTTATATATAGAGAATACTTTTTTTTTCTTTTTTTTTTTCTTTTAAAGAACTTTTTATATCTCTAAGAGCTTTTTATATCTTTAAGAAATCTAAATTTCTAGCTAAATACTTAGCTAAATACCTAGGTATAACTTCTAAACTTAATACTAATACTAATATTACTTTAAAGATATTAAACGCCTTTCTCTCTATACCTACTACCTAAGTAGATACTTTTAACTTTTTAGTACCTAGCCTAGATAATAGTTACTTAGTACTACTAATAGGCTTAGTTTTCTATAAGGTTAGTATTACTAATACTAATATAATCTTTAATACCTTATACTTCTAAGCATAGATATATAAAGATAATCTTAAGAATATTATAGTAATATTTATAGATATTATTCTACTAAAAAGATTTAATCTAAAGAATAAAGTACTATATACTTATCTTTATATAGATATACTCTTTATTATTAAGCTATTTTAGATAAATATACTATTTATATACTATACTATAAAAAAGAAGAAAGATAAAGCTTTTACCTAGAAGAAATTTAAGTATTAGAAAAGAGTAGATATAATATATAATATAATAATAGTACTAGTATAAGTAGTAGTAAAAAAGTAGATATAGTTAAAAAAACTCTATTTCTAAACTTTACTTTAGAAGTTAGAGACGCTTAAAATTATTAGAGAGATAAAAAATAAGCTATAAGTATAAGTATAGTAGTAATAGAGCTAGTAAGCTAAGAAATAGTAGTTATAAGCACTCTAGAATAACTTAAGTATTATTATAAAGTTTAGACTATAGCTATAAAAGCTTAGAAGTTATTAGTATAGATAGAGAATAAGTAGATAGATAAGTAGATAAGAGTAAATATAGATAGTAAGTAGTAGTTACGTAATATAGCTAATATAGCTAGCTTATAAGTAATTATATATAGAATATAAGTTACTAGTAATTATATAAATATTATATAGATATCTTAAGTTAGTTTAGAGGCTTTATACTAGCGTAGCTAAACTTACTTAGTTTCTTTTTACTATTACGTAATTATATAAAGCTAGTGCTAGTGCTAGTTAATAGTTAGGCTTGCGTTAGAGATTTTTAAGTTTACTATTAGGTCTAATATAGTAATACGTTATTGCGTAATTACGTAATTATATAATTATATAATTATTTAATTTTAAAAAAAGTACGCTATAGGCTCTATCTCTTAGGCCTAGAGAGAGAGATAGTAAGGTATAGAGATAAAGAAGTAGAAAAGTAGAGTTATAATAGAAGTAGACTATTATTATTATTATTATTATTATTATTCTATTATAGTTATTAGTATAGTATTTAATTACTTTATATTTAAAATAGCTTTTAGTCTACTAGCTAGGCTTCTCTAAAGACTTAACTAAGAGCTTCTCTAAAAGCTTTTCTAAGAGACTCTATAAAGCTACTAGAGCTTTATAAGACTAAGATATATAGCTTTTATCTTATATTATTAGTAATACGTTATATTATAATTATATAAATAAAGTAGAGTTACTTTAGTATTTTAATTTTAATATTTCTTACTAAGCTTAGTATAGTAAGCTAATATAATATATTATATATACCTTTTATAGTAAGCTATAAAACGCTAATCTCTATAATAAGGTTAGTATATTTAGCTAATAGAAGAGTAGCTTTAATTAGCTAATCTAAGTATTTACTCTTAGTCTATACGTTCTAAGCTAAATAGCTCTACTTTATAAGGTAATAATACTTAAAAGTATAGTTTTATTCTTAATAAGTATTAAAGTATATAAATATATATACTAAAAATACTAATATAAATATAAATATAGCTAATATTTATAAATATAAACTAGATAGCTAAGAACTTCTTAATTACTAAAAAAGTAGTAGTATTAAATTTTATTTAGTAACTTTAACTACTTAGTATTTAGTCTACTTAAGTAGAGTAAAATATTCTAAATAGTTAGTTTATAGATATAAACTAAAAAGTATAAATATTAGCTATTTTAGTAGATTATAAGATTATTATAAAAAATAAAAATAAAAATATATAAAAAAAGTATTATAGTAATAGCTAAGTAGCTATTATAAGTAATAAGTTATTTAGTTAATTATTTAGATTGTCTAAGTTATCTAGTGCTAGTATATTAAATGTAAAGTCCTAGCATGTATCACCCGGCGCTGGAACATCTTCTCCTCTCACATACGCCGCGATTTTCTTCTCGAATTCTGCACCATCACCTACACCAACATGGCGCCGCCAAACAAAGCCAAAGCCAAGAAAGCCAAAGCCAAGAACAACAACGCTGGCCCTCCGCCGACAGAGCAGATCGTCGAGTTGTCATTCACGAACGACGGACAAAGTGCCTACAAACACCCTGAATTTTTCGACTGCACCAAACCTTTCTTCGTCAACGCGCGGCAAGTTACAAGCACGCCATACGAGAACGCAGCGAAGGAGGACGCACATTCGAGAGCTTCTTTGGACACTATCTGGCTAGACAAGTCAGATGTCGCCTCGTCATTGCATACCGGGATACTGTGGGGCCTACGTTAATGCTAGACCCTCTACTTTGCGGCTCTTCATTTTGATGTAGACTGCAGATCAACGTTTTGTTGTGAGTTCTGGCATAATTAGTATTATTTTCGAGGTACCCTGGAGCCTACATCAGTACCGAATCTTATACTTTGCAACGTTTTGTTCTGATGTAGACTGCAAACCAGAGATTTCCTTGGACAATAATAACTACTTTGATGCTTACATCAACTCAGCATTTTCATAATTGCGTATCGCTGTTCCAATGTCGGCTCCAGGCCTGTTCGGATTCTCCATGTATCATGTGCCTTTGTCCGATTTCGAGCTCCACCCTTAGTGGTCCCTTGTTACTGACTTTGACTCCAGAGAACAAAGCCATACGGGCCGATATTGCTAGCCTCCAGAATGACAAGGACAAAGCCATCACCGACCTCAAGTCAGCCGCCAACGACAAGCTCTGGCTTGCCCACCTGCTCCAAGGAAGGGAAAGGGCTACAATATCGATGTGACGCTTTTTTCTTATGAGAAAGCAGACCAGGCCCGCGAGTTGGCGAGGTTTCAACACGCGGCCGCCGCCCACCTGGTTCAAACGCACAAGGACGACGTTGCTGATACACACCTGAGCTTTGACCGGAGGGATGACGCGGCTCGAGCGCATGAACGCGGCGCGATTGAGCGGATATGCAACGAGACACTTGAGAAGATGAAGCGCTTCGCCGAGCAGAATTTTTCGTACAACGAGTTCATGCACGAGCGGGCAGAGATCGAGATTGAGCGCCCAGTGAGTGCTGGAGTCGATAAGCGCCTCCAACCGCACAAAGCCCACGAGTCAGAACCCCGTGAGCAGATCTATAAGCTCGTCGACGCGAAGTACGACGATATCGATTCCACGATGGTTACCTTCTGCAACACTGCCTTCGCAGACGGCAAGCGGATCGGTCGCGACATCGGCTTCAAAGCCGGCTTCCGTATGAAGAGGACCCTGGAGGAGCTTGAGCTCTCAGGCGGAAACGTCCCCATCAGTGTCTGCGAGCCTTGGGTCCAGGATGCTGTCATCGAGGCCGCCGCTATGAGCCTCGAGGCGACCCGCACGAAGCCCAATCCTATGCCGACAACATACGACCAAGCATGTGCCATTCTCAAGAAGGATATCGTCAATTAATGATTGTGCATCAACGTTTTGGTCAAGTCGTTGTTGACATTCAACTTGGCCATGCGCCTCTTGGCAATCTCCCTGTCGATAGCCGAGTTGACGACGAAAGGCCTAATGACCACGACGATCTTCTTTTGACCCTGCCTAAAGGCCCTGCACATGGCCTGCCTCTCGTTCGAGACATTCCACCATTGCTCGCACAAAACGACGATGTTGCCGGCTGTGAGATTGAGACCGACGCTACCGTACCCTGCGGTGATGAGTAGAATCAGGCACTGCGGGTTTTCTAAGAACTTCTTCTCGATGGCTGTTCGGTGCTTCGGCAACACGGTGCCATCGAATCGAAGACATTCAACATTGTGCCGCATGCGAAAATCCCTTGTTGATGATATCCAGGTATCTGAGATACTGGGAGAAGACGATGATCTTGTCTTCGGGGCGCTTCTTGATGAGGTTGTAGAGCATGTCCACCATAGCCGTGACATGTGGGGATTCAAACACTTGCGCCTCTGACCAATCCGCAAGTTTCGCCAACCATTTGACTCTCAGTTCTGCCGATGTCTCGTGTTCCTCGTGGATGAATGGGTTGAGAACTCTGGCGCTGATCGCTTCTGTCGCGGCTTTGTTCTCTTCAAACCCTTCGTCGACATCGTTCTCGGCATCCCAATCAGGTCCCTCTGGGTCGTACTCGTCGTCCGCAGTCAGGGCCTTTGCTTTGCCCTTACCTTTTGCCACCTTCTTCAACGCTTTTTCCTGCCGCCGGATGGCTTTGTCCTCCCTCTTCTCGTAATCCGGCACTAGGAGCGGATGGAGGGAATATACTTGCAGCATGAAGTAGGAAGACTTGCTCTTGACGGCTCGCGTATGGGCTGGCCGACATTGCTCTTCACATCCCTCGGGAAATCGCCACCGACGCCATTGCGGTGTTTCACCGCAAGAACATGAACAACACTGTTGAATTGCCATTACCTTTTACAAGAAAAAAACTAAATAGGTCTATAGACTACATTAAGATGAAAGTTTTTAAAGTAGGTTACCTAACGTTAACGTAGGCTCTAGGCTGCTTAATTTTTCTCTAGGTTAGCGTGCTAGACTTGTTACAATCATCTCTCCATGTTAGTCGTGGGCTTCAGTGATAGATTGCTGGTGTTGTTTCCTGGTTGACTTTCGGCGGCAGGTGCCGGGTCGACTAGGCGGCAGCCTAAGCTACGTCACTGTCCTGGCTCGCCCCCAGCCAAGCATTCCGCCCCGCACACACCTGGATATGATCAGATATCTTCAGGAACAAGACGCCGGACATCGCAGCAACTACGGGTTCACCTGACTTTTTAATCTTCACGATAGCTGGCGCGGTCAACTATACACATCCAAATCGACAGTGTCGAAATGAACAAAAGGAGGTGAAGCATGAGAGACGTATCATTGATCTATCTCAAGTAGTCATCGGGTCTGCTAAAGACACCGGAGAGTAAGAGCAGCTGCGCTCAGGCAGACGGCAAGAGGGAAGAGCAAGTATGATGGCTTTGTGCAATGTTCAGGCCCAGTCAGCATCGCTGTACTGCCTGACCTTCTCCTCGACCCCATGATGAGCCCAGAACCGGCGATAGTTCTCCTTGCATCCCTCCCAGATGTCGTCCCCGAGAGGGGTGACCCCGCCCTCATACTTTTCGTATTCGTCGGCGCCCGGGTACTCTTGGATTTGCGGCTTGCCTTGCACTTGTTGCGGCAACATCATATGCGATGAGCGGGGCGGCACGATCGGGTATGGGAGCTTCTGTATCTGGCGATAGCGACGGGCGTTCTTCGAGTGGTTATGGAACTCGGCCTCGGTAAGACACAAGACAAGATCGAGGATTTGCATTGTTTGTGGCGGCTTTGTTCGCCCTGTCACCAGATTCCTTCATCACTTCCTAGCAGAGACGGCTTCGTGCGGGGTCAAGTCTAAGTTGACGGGGGGGCTGGAGGGCTTTGTGCAGCGACGACCTGAGCAGCGGCGACGGCCTGGGCAGCGGCGACTTGACGGGTGTCATCATGCAGAGCCATCTGGGTGACTAGATTCGTCAGTACATTGTAGACTTTCGCAAGTGAGCTGGAGTGACTTACGGTCTCCTGCCGCGATGGCTTGGAGTTCGGCGGCGGTTGGGTCGGACAAGAGGTACCCGCAAGCATTCGCAACGTGGCTTGTGGGTCACTATCTGGCTGGACGAGTCAGATATCGCCCCGTCATTGCATACCGGTCGTCACATCAGGCCCACAAGGCTGCATTTCAGACGGCCCACCCATTCAAAGGAACACCCTAGAGCCTACATCAAGATAAAAGCTTGCGAAGTTGGTGGTCCAACGGCGACGTAGGCTCCTAGGTGTTCAGTTTTTCCTTTGTATGGGGTGGGCGGGCAGTCGATGAACGGCAAGCTATAGGCAATTCTCAGCATCGTTGTCTTGTCGCTTTAGTTGAGAGTTACACCGTCCAGGCATCTCAAGTGACACCTCCTGGCCACAGCTGTGATAACCTTGGAAGTTGCTCAAAGTCCTCGCCTGGAGGGATCGTAACAGCGCCCGGTTGCCTAATAAGAGGCAAAACGCCATTAACGAAGCCACCTGATACAGAGCTGCCGGAAGGGTAGCTTGATTGGTTGTGTGGGGCCACACCACAACAGTTGGATGCGCTGCATGCGCTGCTTGGGAATAACCCACTTTCTTCCCATGCCACGTACACGGCTGTTCGTGTTTGCTACTTCCTCACCCCCACCGATCGCAAACGACATGTGGTCATGATTTAGCTCTTAGGCAGCGATGCAACGGGGCTGCATCGGCCGGGTGCGAGCGCGGGACGCTCCTTCCGCGCGCGCTGGGTCTCGGCTGTTGCCCCTACCGGAATGCGTCCCACCAGAACAACTTCACCGGAATTCTCAAGCACTGAAGGACCTTTATGGGACAGAAAGCGCTAAATAAGATCGCCTCTCGTCCCTATTTTCGGTATAACTTTATTTCAACGTCGTTTCCAGGACGAGAGGAAGCATTCGAGGTTTTTGCGGCATGCCGGAGCTGGAGTGCAGATGGCGCATGTGAAAGCTTGAGGGTGTCCGGCTCGGCTGCAAGCAGCCCCCGTGCAGCTAATTGGATTTATTTATTCACGGCTCAGAGTCTCATCGCCCTGTCAAGCCTGCCGGTCCTTGCTTTATTGCCTGCTGCCGTGAGATAAGTGACGTTTGCGGAACCTGGCTAATGTCCCTCGTCCATCGTTCGTCCAGATGAGCTCATCGAGCCTGCCTATGTATCGCCTTCGCTGTTCTCCATGTCGACGAAATGCAAGGTTGCTGCAGCGATTTGCTGGATATGAGGGTTGCGGGTGCGGGGTATGACTGTAGCCTTTGCGCGGACGATAAGACGTTTTGTGCTGCAGACTGCAAATCACTCTCATGCGCATGATACTGTCAAAGCGGCGCTGTTTACTCAGAATGGTGACGCGTGGCGGTCGTCCATGCGTCGCGTCTGTACGTCAGAGCTGCGGTATGCCTAGGTGGCCCGGCTGGGTGCTGCCTGTCAGAGACATACCTACAACCTATTGGCTATGATTGAGATTACGCAGTTTTAGTGAGGGCTGCGCGGTACTGACTTCCTCGACTGAGCCCCTAGGCACCCATTGCACTTAGGTGGTCTGAGGGGTTCGCTCAGTGGCGTGGTCTTTCGTCGACGGTTGCTATTGGCTCCAAATGGTCAACGTATCAGCATAGAACAGATATCTTGTCGAAGAAGAGGTTGATTTACGGATGACTGTTTACACATAAACAAATGAGAGCGGGCTTACTGGTACTGTATGAGAGTTTCTGCGGATAGTTATACCCCGAAAATCCTGTCAAACAGACTCCTGATCTGACCCCGGTCTCTGAAGAGAGGTGTGTTATATATATACATCGAAACAAATGAGAACGCTGGTAAGAAGCTGTGTTGCCATGCGATCAAGAGCTCTTTTACATAGTTATACAGGGTATCATAGGAAACATGCGCTGAATTTGGGGTGATTCAAGTGAATGGAAAGTGAACACATTCTTCATGCCCACTGCATATTACATGACAAGACAGCCTTCTTTTGTTGATATTCGAGGGGTATTCGGCGGCTCGAGGTGTGGAGTGCCTGCTTCGGAAGGTCGTATTGATTCCGAATACATGCGATGCCAGCTGTCAGCCTGGCTAGAATGTCTTCGGTGTAGCTTTTCACTGTTTGGGTGGACAGCAGGCGATGGGAAGTTCGGTGGCGAAAATGAAGGGATAATGAAACTCATAGTTGGGACCGGAGCTTCCACGGGCTCGGCTCTCTCGATGTCGGGTACAGTGCGGCGTCTTGGAATCGCGCCACCCCGTCGTAAGGAGGTTGGTCCTGTACTCCAGCTCCTTGGTTCCGTCTGGTGCAAGGCGCCCTCTGTAATTGATAGCGAGACATCAAAGTGATTGTTATGGTTTCGGTTTTCATTGTAGTCGGTCATAATGCTTGTTTGGGATGTGCGACATCGAGTCGAACAAGGATTACATGACGAACTCATAACTTCCTCTCTTGTATCGACCGATCGCTCGCTGAGTGTTTGTTCTTGTTCGTCTGTCTCATGGCAGTCTTTTGACTCGACAGCACTTGGCAAATCGGGAATATCAAATACATCTGATGGCTGAATACCAAGGAGTATTTGACTTGAGCTGCGAGGTTCGGGGACAGTTGACCTTGAGCTCACCGCGTCTTTGGTAGAATTGGTGACACATTCGCCAGTAGTATAGTCGGAGACCGTAGAGTCCCCCGTGTGGAAGTATGTCGAGTAATCTTGAATCAGAAGCCATTTTGTGTGATCCCACCATAGTTCGGTATCTGTAAATCCAAAGTCGTGGGTCGCTTTCAAAGATAACTTCTGAAGACGCGAAGTGCCCACGATCTCGAACAGCCACTCATCAATCGTGTTCATCTTCTCCACCCAACGTAAATGGCTGTGTGTCTCATGGGAATTGTTTAAGTTACTCCGTTGGAAACGGGGTTGATTGGACTTTGCACTTGCTCTGTGTGTAGATACTATAGCCTGTTCTGATAGAAGCTTGGGAAGCTGCGTAGCATGCTTGGCACCGTCGTGATCAGCAAAATCCGCAAGATCGGCTATCGGTGGATGTGTGTTACTACTACCTGTCATGGAACCGGTCAACTGCAAGATTTCCAGATTCTCTGTACTCTGGCTCCGATCCAGTGCTTCGCTTGGTACAAGCTTGTTATCCAAGACTTCTTCAACGAACCTTGTTTCCCTGCGAGAGTACTTCCACTCTAAGGTATTGTAACCGGCTTCAGCTTCATCGTATTCGGCTTCTAGAAGACCCAATCGATCTCTTAGTGAAGAGGCGTCAACAAACGCCTCTTCGATGTTCCGTGGCACTTCGGCACCTATCGTGTTGAGATACTGTCGTAATAGGTTGAAAACAAAGCCGTCCTTCGCACTTGTCTCTATTTGGAGATCGCGGAGTTCCTGGCGCTTCGCAGCTATAGTGAAACGTACGCCTACAAGCGTGTCGCGGAGATCCCGCAACGATTGCTGCTCGTCATCTAGCTTGTCTGATGTCGCACTCCGTGGTTCCCTTGGAATGAGATTCGAATGTGGACTATTCGGTGTGGCCATTGGAGGAGGTGGAGGGACATTCATCTCGGCGATTGAGATCGGTGGCGGTGGAGGAGGAGGATAGATTACGACGGGTGGTACCCACGCGCGAGGCTGAGTGATGCCGTTCTGACTATCATCGTGATTGCCATGTCGTTCGATGGCCCGAGGACTGGAAGAGCGACGAAAGTCATGGCGAAGCTCAATCCCATTCGGCGCTACCGCTGCGGGCGTTGGACGTACAAGATCTGGAGGATCCGGTAATCCGGTCCATTCCTCAGACTTTGCACTCTCAATGATTGATGCTATGCTCGTCAGAACAAGCACGCGTCATGAGAATACTGGAGAACAATATCGACCGGGAGCAATGAGACCATACTCACCAGTGGGTTGTGTTTCGTACTGCATCCCCGGGGAGACATGAGATGTTCGTGAGTATGCTCGGGAGCGAAACTAGGCTGGAGTGAAGCATGCCGGGCAGTAAGATGCAGCGGCAGTGGCAAACGTATTATCCGTTTCCCATCTAGCCGATGCCCGTGCACACTTATTGATCCGCATGGACAGTCCCTGATCGTCCCGGGGTGACGGTACTGGAATGTGGCACGGAGGTCTCATGCACTGGCGATAACGATGTAAAAGCAGCGTTCGGGGGCGGATGCAGAAGCGTGCTAGTCGCCGCGCAGCTCGTGCTAACTTTCCTTGGCGCGGGCACATGGGCCATCTCCAGCCTGTGACAGCCCGGCTCACGCGCCAACGCATCTGCACCTTTCACTCTATCGCCATCTGTAGGAGGGTCGCGTCGGCATCATGTCTATTACTATAGACGACTCTGCGTGGTCGCATTTGTTAGTATGCGGCTCTGCGCGATCCAGTCATCTGGCCATACCTACATAAAGACGTACAGCGCAGTTGTACCCGTTGTCCCCTTCAGCTGCCGCGCAGATTATGTGGCACCACTCACGGCATGGAACCACCACAAACACAACCACAACCACAGTCTGAATGGAGCGCCCACTTTCAGAGATACCTAATCACTCTATGGAATGCACAGCATGGACGCTATTACTGGCAACACTACGTTGAAGGCCCGTGGCCGTGCCCTGGCATGCGGCATGTGTATAGGCTAACCGGAAATAGGCCAAGGCTGGGTATTTTTTGACTGGCTGCCCGTGACGCAAGAGGTTCCACAGGCCCAACCTCAACCTCAGTACCAGCCGCATATGCGCAATGACTCTGTACAGACAGTCACAGCATCTGGAGGTGGGCCTGCTGGTTATGGACGAGGTTCAACGGTATACGCGACATACAGTCCAACGAATCCGCATTCCAGCAGCCATTATGAAACACTTGATCCATGTTAGACTCCAACCAACGCTACATGTGCAATATACTAACTTGTTGTAGCTTTCCACGTCAAAGGTAGTGCTTTCTTCGAGGAAGGGAAGGTTAGTAGTAGACATACAGGGCGAGACAAGATTTGCTGACAATTAACCAGGTCTTTTCGATTCTATTCACTGAGCCAGCGGGCGCCAACGCTCTGAACGGGCTAAACCCCATGGCCGACTACAATACCAACTTGTCCAACAATACCAGCCTGTCAAGGGTCAGATTCGGTGAACATGTACATACCCAAGTACGCAGGTTCATCGTCGTTAAACGTAAACGAGAGTTCTGCTTCGCTGTGTACGCGATCCTCTACACGTTCTAGACTGTGACATGGCTAATACTCGGCAGTCCAATATTCACCTATTACGGCCAAGCCACCACGAAGCATGGAGTACGTCCTGACGAGCATGCCATCGCCTATTCGCTAGGACAACAACCACAACTTGTACAGGGTGAATCGCCGCTCCGGAAGGCTCCCATCCCAATCGAAATGGAGGAAAACAACAGGGCGCTGGTCCCGGCCTCCAGAATCTACTTCGCCATCCACCACCCGATTCAGTACAACGTCAAGGTGAAAAACCTCGGCCACGTCCATCCAGATTATATTCCCACTTTCCTTGGCTACTGGAACCAGGAGAACAATGATTCGAAGGAAGAATCTGATGTGGCACAAAACCCAAACAATACGGACAATTTTTGATGCGCAACGTCTCGAGAGATCGACAGCTTCTTTCCCAATTTGATCAAGATACGTTTTGCTTTTGTATCCTCCTCATAACGATTTCGCTGGGATCATTCTGTATCTATTGTTGACCTTTAAGCACACGATATTTCGGTTAGTCGAGGTTGTTTCTGCTGATATACGCTGCTTTTGCTCATATACGCCGCTTTTGAATGACGTTTTCACCAGTAACAGCTATGCGCGAATAACATCTTTATTAATACTTCCACCATCCCCTCTTGCACTCATGTTCGTCTTGCGTATATACCATATGAGCAAGGTCTTCATCAGGCGCCTTACACATCACCGAGTGCATTACGTTCATTTGCGAAGTGTTGGTATGGTTCATGATAAGGACAGAGCCACATGCATGGCGCTGCCATACCAGATTGGTACCTCTTGTTCGCTACTCGGATATGCATCTCTTCCATTGGCCGACTTGTGCCATTGAGGCTGTGAAGTGTGGCACAGCGACCGTTCAGTAAACACCAATGATGTTGCTTCAGGACCACGCCACTATATGCACTACAAGCTCACCGGTATTGGCCCCGCGTCAAGCTCAGCCTACTTGACCCAAACTTCCTCTCTCGCATCGGCAACCACGGCGTCCTTTAACCACCAACCTCTGGGGCATGTACTGTCACTATTGCACATGAAAAGCTGTGTACCAACGCGACAACGAATCTGCGCTGGCAGCCCCCCGCAATCCAGGGCCACACCGATGAATGAATGGAAGGCTTGTTCACCTATCCCCGTAATGTAGCCTGGAGACAACGCTGACTTCGTGGTAGTGCCATAATATACTCTGGTCTTACGTCCACGATGGAAAACAACCTGAGTGCGATCGACAACGGCCCTACGCTTAAGGAATCGCTTGAAACCGTCTCGCGAAGCGGTGATATCTGTGTCGAAAAGAACGGTGAATACATAATCGACGATGTAGAGCGTCTTACCTTAGAATGCAAGGCGGTGCTCGGTAGAGGCGGAGATGCCGTTGTCGAAAAGGTGCAACACAGAATTACGAAAGCGATCTTTGCAAAGAAAGTAATCCAGTTCCCTCACAAGAAGGCCAAAGGCAGAGATCAGGCGAAAGGACGATATTACAATGAGGTTGCAATCATTCGGAAGCTCAAAGCTCATCCCCACATGATTGAGCTATTTGCTACATACATGACAGCCCAATCAGGTGGCTTAATTCTATCTCCAGCTGCAGACCAAGGCGATTTGAAACAATACCTCGAAAACTACGTGGATGCGCTCGATGATTCCACGACAGCGCCTCTCGTTATAGCTAGGATGACTACTGTCCTGGAGAAGACCTTTGGATGCTTGTCAAGTGGTCTCGCGTATATGCACGCAATGGGTATCCGTCATAAAGATATTAAGCCGGCTAATATCTTGATTCACAAAGGAGTGGTTGTCTACACTGACTTCGGCGCATCGAAAGACACCCTGGAAGAGAGAGAATGTACAACAGAAGGAAGACCTGACTTCTTGACAAGAAAGTACTCTGCGCCTGAGGTACTCGAGTACGAGAAGAGGAACTTTGCTGCAGATGTATTCTCTCTGGGTTGCGTCTTTGTTGAGGTACTTCTACGCTTATGTGGCTTGACAGAACATGAGGACTTGAAGGCTGAGGGCTACTCAGGCATTATGGATGCGCTCCATACTCTTCTTCCGCCCGCAGGAATTCCATCAAACCTTTCATGTCTTCGGGCGATCATCATCGCAATGACAGCAAGGGAAGCGAAGAGTCGTCCCGATTCAACAAATATCACAACAGAAATCTGTTCCCATGATGGCTTGTCGTGCTTACAATGCCATTTGACCAAGGACCAAGTAGAGCCACTGCAGTTACAGCCATCAGCTCCAGGACCTCCTGCTCCAGAATCACCAGTTCCAGAATCACCAGCTCCAGAATCACCAGCTCCAGAATCACCAGCTCCAGAATCACCAGCTCTAGAACCCCCAACTCTAGAAATCTCAACTCTAGGATCGCCAAGTTCAGGACCATCAACTCCAGATTCACTAGTCCTAGAATCATCCGAATCAGAATCGCCAGAATCACCAGGACTACAGCCACAACCACGACAACCAGAACTTCAACAGCCACAAGCTTCACAACTGCAACCTCCCCAGTCACTGGCTCTACAACCACAGCCTCAAACTCAACAGCCAACACATAACGCACAAGCGAAAGCTTCTCAACTACAAATCTCACAGCCACAGCAGGTATTGCCACAGCAATCAGATCCATATACGTCACAACCTGCATGGAATCCGCACTTCCAGAGGTATCTTCATGTACAGTTCCATGAACAGTACCAGAGGTGGTTTTGGAACTACTATGATGGTAAGGCGTTGGCTTGGGAAGCACACAAATTGGCTAATTGTCATTAGGCCAAAGCTGGGTGTTCTTCGACTGGGTTCCTCTACATACTGCGCCCCCTGTTCAGCTACAAGCCCGACCCCAGCTTCAATACCAAATTCAGCCCCACCTTCAGTACGAAGTACAACACGAATACCAGTCTCAACCCCAGCCCCAACCTCAATGGAGATCTCAAGCCCAACTCCAACTCGATCCCGAACCCAAACCCAAATCCGAATCCGAGCCTGTTGACCAATTCTACTCGGATCTATCAAAGGGTCTAACGACTATGCTCTTTAACTCTTTGACCGGACGATCTAGTACTCGCGAAGGTAAACAGGTCTCCGGTTCTTACGACCCAAGATATCCATCGTCTAGCAGTCATTACGAACACCTTGATCCTTGTAAGTCATCTGTGAAAATCATCATACATCAGAGAGCTAACTACTTTAAGCGTTCTACGTCAGAAATGGAGAGTTCTTCACAAAGGGAAGGGTATGTATCATTCTCCGCAGACAAGGCGATGTCTAACGAAGTCAGGTTTTTGCAGTGCTGTTCAGTGAAGCAGCTGGTGGAAGTGCAAACAACGTGACAGATTGGAAAAGCAGATTCACGATTTTCAAAAACCACGAGCTCGTACACACGCATGTACGAATATTTATTGCGGTTGAACGCAAAAAGGAGTTTTGTTACGCTGTGTAAGTCGCATTCTCCGCATTATCTTGTACTGCTAACGTTGGAAGGCCCATATTCACCTACGAGGATCAAGGGACGAAAAAGCCTGGCGTCTCTCCGGATGATCACGCTATCGCTTACTCAGACGGATACAGTCCTCAATTACTACCAGACGAGGCCAACCTCACTAAAGACCCTATTTGCATTGTTATGACGAAAAGCGAGAAGCCTCTCGCGATAGCATCGAGAGTTTGCTTTGGAATTCACTATCCGGTCCAATACAACGTCAAAGTCAAAGACATTGGTTCAGTACACCAAGACTGGTTGCCGATCTTGCTTGGCTATTGGCACTTGGCAAACGACGTCAAGACTCAGCAGTCTAGCAATGACACCAACGAGGCCGCTCAAGATGAGTATCCATATGACTCTCCCTTCTGATTGACATCCGTGTGCGATGCAATTCTTTGGTTCATCCAATCCATCTTATGGTACTGCGGTGACGCGAAGCAGACGAGGGACTTCCAACTTCCAAGATATACATGTACCTATAGACTAGATACTCTTACTAACGAGTACTGTCAATACAAGAGCATAAGCAGATATACTCTTTTGGTACAGATTTGTATGGGCTGATCTTCACAGGTAATGCTTAGGATCATGAAAAGCTTTCTTAGCGGAAATCGGAGTGGATGCCTAGCATCTATCCTTACTTCTGTGCCCTGCTATACATTGTTTACTTGTAGATGATTGTGTGTTTGGCGAGTAAAAAGTTTGCGGGGAGTAAGGTTGCGTATATAGCAGGAGTAGCAACAGTCTTAGCAGTACGTCATCCGATCGCATTCGGCAGGAACGCAGCCAACAGGCCGTCAAGCAGGTACAGATCTAGCAGCTGGATAATGTCGATTTGGTCAACGTGGGAAGTATCGTTCGATTCATATATACGCTTAATAGACGGAGATCGGGTATTACGCGATCTTGCTGGCCATGTGCCTTGTTGGATAGGAGGTCTCGAATAGTGCGATCTGCGTGTTTATGAGCTGACATTGACTACATGTCGCAGTTCAAAAGAGGACACGAAGCGTCTAGGCGTTTGTGGCATTTCAGAAGGCTTTGCTGTGTAAGAAAGGGTGGAGTATGTAGTTTGTGTGTTTAGTGCGACGGATTTCTGCCTAGGAGGCCCACTTTCCCCGCGCCGGCCCATGCATCCGGGCCTCATGTGACCGCGAACGCCGCGGACCCTAGCGCGCGATTCTCGTGTGTTTTGCACAACGCGTCACCAACACCAAAATGGCTCGCGATTGTTTCAAAACTAAAGCGCAAATTCTTCCACTATAGCGCACATCCCTCTACTGTCTCCGTATTCCAGCGAGCCTAACTTGCCATGACGCTATTGCTCGCTCTCTGAGATACGCTCGCAATGTCGCCCTGGGATCGTCCGCCGGTTTGGCGTAGCCATTCCTATGCCACGAAGTCATCGCTCGCCATGACGGTCCACGCTACGAACAAGATGACACTGTCGCTCCCAGATGGCAGTTGGAGGTTTCCGAGATGCGCGCATTGCACACAGCCAGAATGAACATGAGAGGGTGCCTCGATATGAGACCTCACCCAACTCTCGTTGAGGCACAATTTGAGAAATCCGATGACTACAAGGTCAGGCTGGTATGTTATATCTGATCTCCTGTAATGGGTATTCACTGACAAGACTGTAGATGGAAGTCCCTGTCGGCCCAAGTTGGGACTATACACGTCGAATCCTCTTCTATCGCAGTCGCAAGCGCTATACTACCGCGGCCGAGCTCGCGTACACGTATATCATACGGGGATATGGAGATTAGCATGGCCGAACTTAGGCAATGAATCTATAATGGGCGCACGTTATGGAAGGCTTCACCACGCTAACCTAGGGAAAAACTAAACACCTTAGAGCCTACGTTAACGTTAGGCTACCTACTTTGCAAGTCTTTGTCTTAATGTAGTCTGCAGGCTTATTTAGGTTTTTTCTCGTATAAGGTGTCGCCGCCGTGGATCTATTCAGAAATGCGGACACGTATAGTTCCGGGCATAGCACGTTCGGCCTTGGGCATCAGACCCCACCTATATGCCTGCAAGAATGATGTGACTGCCATTGGCATCGAGAGCATTGTGACACCCACTACGCTCTGCTTCCACGGTTGCACACTCTCAGACGTGCTAAAGGATACGAACCGGATTCTACCTGCGCAACCTGTCTCCTGCTACCTCACTAGACACACGAAATGACCTGTCTCATTGCCATACAGCCACACGTCTTAATCTCCTCGCTGGTTTCACGACCCAATCGCCTCGGGGCCTGGCTACACGTATGTCAAAGATGATTTCAACACCAGTAATTCCATCAATCACATGTCTCCAGGAGCTTTCTGCACGCGAGTACTGCATGCCATTCATTCTTCAAGCTGCCATGCGTTGTCTAGTTTGGGACTGGATGGTACGCTTTATACACCTGCAAAGCTCCTTCAATACTTTGAACAAGACCGAAGAAAATCGTAAGACAAAGCACAGTAACCGCGATCCAAAAGGTATACCACTGGGTCCTGTTCCTTCTATCGTACCAGAATTGCGAGATGGAAGTAGGCTTTGGTTGATCGAATCTCTCCTTCAAGCTCATCAGTTCGTCGCGCCAGTAAACGAAATTTGCAGCACGCCGATCAGTTGAGAACATTGTGATTCGATCGAGTAGGGCAAGGTCCGGGTGTATGACATCTTCACCATGCGATTGTTGAGACCTCAACCATTTTTGCGATTCAGCGTCTTGTCGTGGGAATAATAAGTCTAGTGTTCGAAGTGTTTCATTGATGAAGTTTTTCGGAAACAGGTCGCTAGAACAATTAGTGACATACGTGGGATGATGTTTGGGAACATGCCTAGTTTGATGTTGGAGGAAGGTCGCGTGGTGGAAGATGTAAAGCCTCCGGTCATCGTCGATCAGGCGCAGGTGATCAGCCAAATTATTGGTCCACTGTATTTCTAGCCCTGTGAACCGTTGAAGGTTGAATGCCGTAAATTCTTCCTTGAACACGATATCCTGACTTTCCGTTGAGCTGATGACGAAATGGTTGGTGAGAACGGCTTTCATGGTTTGTTCGTCGCTCCAGGGCAGGAAAGTGGGACCCCATGTCCGGTACCTTGACGGCGCTCCTACATCTACCATCAAGAACAAGCGTACTGCTAGCCGAATTGATCCTTCTGCCATGTGTTGCTTGTCCGCATCACTTCTTTGCTGGGTGACTAGTGCCGCGAGCGATAGCTTGATCGTTTCCTTCGTGTGCGCTTCTTCGAGTTGCCGAATGATGGGTATGATGTCCCGATGTTGCCGAACAGTCGCATGCTTTCCGCCATCAGGTTCAATAGTCTTTCGGCATTCCACAGTGTAGTGTTGGAAATACGCGTTCCACGGACAGCGGTCTCGAGATTCTCTCACTGCTAGTACAGGAGACGTATTCTGGGGCCAGAAGGCTCCCAAGATCTCGCGCTTACAATGAGTCTGTACAGGGTCCTCGTTGGCCTTTCTCGATAGTGCCATGGTACGATAATGATTAAGACAGGAAGAATTCCGGTAGCATTCTTGGGCTGTATTGCATGCGGTACCTGCTTATAGCTATATAAACGTGGCCATCTTTTTCTACGAGCCATAGCATTCCGAGATAACAGCGTGGCGTTGTTGAGGGCTGAGTCCTAACTCGATGATTCGTCGGCGCGGGTGCATCACTCACCGGAACGCAGGCAGTGCGGGGTCGGGCTGAAGTACAGCCACTTCGCAACTTCCGTACTTTTCTCTGAAGAAATTTTCGAGAGTTTCGCTCAGTCACCCCACCGCACTTCCTTGCAATTATCATCTGCATGTTCAATTTCATTCGAGACGCTTTAGCACAGCGATAATACATGTCAACTACTACCCGAGTCGAAGAGGTATATCAGGAGGCTGGTCGTGCGGCTATGGAGCAGTATCACATCAGAGCCATCGTATCTAAAAAGACTCGTATTGATCTGAAAGTGATAGGTGACAGACTGCTTCAGCGAACTCGGGTGAACTACGAAGACTCGGTAGACATGGACCACCCAGTTTCTGTGGATCAAAAGGCAAATCCCGAGTGGAATCAAGATCATTTCTGCTGGGAGGCCAAGGGGAAGTGCGCCCAAGATTACAAAGAAGTAGAGACCAAGCTCCTGAGAGAGCTAGACCAGTCTCGACGAGAGTCTTTCTGCGAAGTTGGTGTGTCACTGTTCATGATAGGGAAGACGCCACAAAAGGCAAAGCCTGTGATCATAATTTCCAGTCAGGACCAACGATCACGCAAGGAAGCCAAAAAGGCTATCACTAGGAGCGGTATTCTGGAAGATCTGGACTTCGAGCTTGGTGTTCTCAAGTACCTTCCATCAGGTCCCATTCACCCTATCGCCGGATCACCTAGCGAAGCAAGTTGGGATTCTGCATCAGAATCTGGAGGATGGGATTCAGACACTTGGGAAACGGCGAAACCAGCTCTATCTCATCAGTCGGTTACATCTCTCCCCTTGCCCGCTTACTACGATCCGAAACAACGGCTGCGCATAACAGGCATGCCACTCTACGTAAAGACAACAGACAACCAGTCAAGAATGGGAACAGCCAATCTCGTTCATAACGGTTCTACATACGGATACATCACTGCCGCCCATATTTTCAGTCCTTTGCGTCACGCTCCTCCTTCGATCGATGATGGTGAAGAGGATCTCGGTGTACCATTCGATAGTGATAGCGACGATGAAGATAATTCTGAAGCAAAGAGGTCATGTGCTGGAAGCCCGATCTCGAATCCAACAAAAGCTACAAAATCTCAAATCCTAGACCACGGGGAAACTAAATTGTCGAGATTCAATGGGTCTAAGATGCCAAGCGATTCTTCCGAGGCAACAAGCATTTCGCCACCTAATCTTGCCTTGCTTGGACATGTAGCTCCTGAGGAGTCTGAGTTGTCTATGGACTACGCGATCATCGCCATCGAAAACATCGAACTCGTTCAACAGCTGGAGCATTTTAGTGTTTCTGAAGGGATACAAAGCGCAAGAGCATCGGCAGCCGCACCCAAGCCGTCGCAGGCTACAGCATGGACAACTCACGGTCCAACACATGGTACACTGACCAGTGTGCCAACATTGATGCGTTTATCAGGCTGCAGATCGTTCCAGCCTGTATTTGCTTTTGCTTACGAAGGAACAATCGAGTATGGTGACAGTGGGTCTCTGGTACTCGATACGGCCAGCAAAGAGCTTTGCGGTATGGTAGTTGCTGCTTCATATCGACAATCTGTCGCGTATATAATCTCAGCAGATCACCTATTGAAAGATATTGCGAGACGCGGATGGCTTCTGTTGAGCGTCGACGATGCGCATATGGACTCTGGCGAAAGTCACGATCAGGCGGTGTATGCCCCAACCACCCAAAGTACACAGACTGTGTTGCCGGTAATGGAGACCTCTCAAGCAGAGTCATCATCAAAGAACATTCCCCAAGCTACGCCGTTATCAGATAAGGCTTTGAATCAGAACACATCGCATACCATGTCTAACGGCAATTGGGTATGGGACCACCGATACCAGGATTACTACTGCATCACATTGGATGCGTATCGTAAGTATTGCCACATTCTATCAAGCTGAAACTCAACGCAGTCCACTGATCTAAACAGAACGTCCGATATATCACTGGTCTAAACAGCAGGCCCAAGCGGACATCGCCGAGCCCCTTCCAAGGCAGGATTCGGGCAGTCGACAGAACGATGGCGCAAACGTGGCCCAGATGCCCGAGCCTGGTATGTCATTGTCCCAAACCTTGTGGCAAGCGTTTCGCCTAATCTGTATCTCGTAGCTCCGCAGGATGCTCGTGCACTGAGAGGCTTCATTCAGGGAACGCCACAGACCGGCTGGTATGATCTTCTGGACCAGAGTAAGTAGGTCCCAGGGCGCTCAGCTTCTCGACTGATTTATGGCACACAGGCTACCGAATGAGGACTGGCTCTGAAGCTCACACTTTCTTCGTAGTCGGAAAGGTTTTCGCAATGTTGTACACTGAGTCTGCAGGAGGAACTGTCCCTGCGTACCCAAGCGACGGTGCAAGCGACGGTACAAGCAGCGATGCAGATAGCTTTACTCGGTCCAATGAAGTGGTATACACAAACATCCGTCGGTTCGTGGTAGTCGCGGTTCGTCGTGGCTTCGTAAAAGCCTGGTGAGGACTGTCTCAAGACCAGATATGTTGCACCAGCTAACATAAGCTAGTGGAATTGGTACATATTCCGGACGTGGAGCCCTTAAAGACGGTTGCAGGCCATCCGAACATGCCATCGTCTACCTCCCCGGGACAGATCCAAACTCCTGCTATATCCCAGGAGAGTACGAAAACGGAATGAACAAGGAAGCCATTCAGATTGAGCCGGTTGCATCCTCAATCTATCTGACGAGCAACTCCCGCATACGATTCGGGAAAACATACCCTATTGAGAAGAATGTCAAAGTGAAAGATATCGGCCAGGTCCATCCTGAGCATGTAGGCAGGCTTGTCCAATATTGGAAGGACGAAGATCAAGACCAAGGCTAAGGCTGGAAAGTTCATCATCAAGAGTGTTGCACGGTGATGTACATTGTCACGCCCGGCCAGAATATTCGCGCACACGACTTGCAAGGCAAGCTTCTTCAGTATTGTATAGATGGAGATCATTGGATTGGAGGGAAGTATTATAGAGAGAAGACGAATTGCTCGAATCCATAACATAGCTAGAACTATGTATTTGACACCAACGAAGTCACGTGCCTTTACTTTGATAGTGATCAAGACCGGGGCTTTGGCCGTGGTCTTTGTCATTCATTAACTTCATAGATGTTGATTGAGATTACTGTATACGTGATGAGCCTCTGTCTCTACCTCGATACCGAATTTACCGACGTTGGATCATCGCCCGCAGATCATTTCGACTATCGTTTACTGAGATATCACCCTCTGCATGAGAGTGTCTCTACTTTGACTACCTGATAACAGCATTCATTGGCACCTTTATGACACATCTCGTACCCAGCAAGCGATCTACTGCGCACCCTCATCAACATACCCCTCATTCGCATGCCAAATCAAATCCATCGCATAAACAAACAGCCTGTCCTCAAAGAGAGTACAAGATGCATACAGTCCGTCAATCTCCATTTGAACCCCCAAAGCACGTCGCGCTTCGGGTAAGTTATAAACCCAGTCGGCGAACAAAACATACTCCCTATGATGGCTCCGCACAGTTCTTTTGCCATTGGTTAGATCCAACACGGGGTCATACCAAGCACAACGCTCGCCTTGATCGTTGAATTGGAAATGCTGCCTGCTGAATACATCCAGTTCATGCACATCTTGTTCGAGGCTACGCAGATTGTTCGAGAACATCTCATAGTCCGAGACCAGTACATTCATCGCAGGAACCAAAGTGAACTCCAGCGTAAACTTGAGCTGATGAGCCTCGGTCGATGATGGGATGAGTCGTGCCTTTGTGCGGAGCGCGGTGAGACTCTTAACCAAAGCCATGAGAGGAGCAAAGATCTCTTCGTAGCTTAAAACAACGAAGGCGTTGTTGAGGGTTGTGTAACGGTCTACATCCAGATCCTCATTGAGTTCCAAGGCGATGCGGGCGGCGCGCTGGGTTTTGTGGAAGGTGACGCCGGCTTCTCTATAGCGATCTTCCAATGAGTTACAGAGATTGAGAAGACTATCGGCGCGTTTAACGATCTCTTGGATACCGGTGCGGGCTTTCTTGGCCTCCTCGTCGGCTCGCTCTGGGGGTACGGGTTCGCAGTTTGGGCACATATTGGGGGTACGACTAATATGTTGATTGGTACTCCCTGGTCAGCTCTGGTTGCAGTGGCTGGGGGAAATGATAGGATGAGATTACATCTTGTGATAAAGAGAGATACAGTAGTGAACGCTGTGAAACTTCGCCCCTAGAGTATACATGTAGTCTGCACAGCGCATTGAACTTCGTTCACCCACCGTCTCACCAACCCTCGACGTCAGTAACCGCCAACATAGTCCAGTACGCGTCCTTCGCAATGTCCTCTTCTTCCACCACGCCATCGACAAAAGCCTCCGTATACGCAGACTTTGACTTCACCACCCCATGCTCAATTTCCAGAAAGGTCTGTACCCACATCCGAAATATGTTACCCTCGCGGCTGTGCTTGGCGGACAGCGCCTCAGTTCCATCGAGATCGGAGCGCTCGGCGAGCTTCGCTACTTGCTCCTCCACCCATACCAGTCCAGCCTCCAGATTGCGGAGTGGTTTCGCCAGTTGAGAAAGCGTGAGTTCACATTCAGCTTCCAGCTCGCGAAGGAGATCGACGTTCTCCGGAGCAGTGCCTCTTGATAATACCCATTTTTGCAGTACTGCATAGGCGGCGTCGAAGATTTCGTCCCATGGGTGAAAAAACGGCTCTTCAGAGCGCGGGCGGCCGATTTCGAACATTTGGCTGAGCCGTGAACACACAGTCTGCTCGACAGCTTTCGAGCTACAAGTAGCGATGGAGTGTCGGAGCGCATACGGAACCTTGTGGTAGGCCACTCCAGCGACTCGAAACCGCCTTTCGTATTTGTCCAGTCTGGCGAGCCATGAGAGAGCCCGAGGCTTTGCCCAATCAAGCCAATCTTCGTATACCGCCGCAGGAGGTAAAAGCGCTGTGTTTGCGCTGTCTAATTGCCAGTCGTACGGTAGGTTGTTGATCCATGTGTCGATGCGCTTCTTCTGGGATCGTGACAGAAGCTGACCATATGTTTGTTTTGATGAGATAGCCATGGGTGTTTGACCGTGTTTCGTGCAGGGCGGTCCCGCTCAGTTCTGTAGTACGGCTCTGAGTATCCTTGACCTTCTGGATGTCGCCTGCGTAGTTGGCTGATCCGTGTTGATATTGGTTGATCACGCAGATTGGAAGAGGCGGGTGGGGGATGTGGTCGAGCGACGGGGTTAGGTGCTGCGCCCCGTATCCGTCAATCGCCTGTTGTTGTGATGGAAACGCAAATGGCCGTTTGCACGTTGTGGTGTGTGCGCTAGTCACACTCATAGTGAATGCAGCTTTGGTTATCGCAGCGTTTGTTGAAGTGCGCTTTACCACGTAAGCCTAGAAGGTCTACCGACGACAAGCTCGCGCTGGTGAGTCAACTCAAATAACAGGCTTGGCCTTGAAGTATACACTACATTTTTGCTCCATGTATCGTGTATATGGAGTACAATGTAAACTTCAGGGTGTTGTATGACCGAGCGCGCGAGTGAAGTAAAAGACGCTTCTTTGTAGGTTCAGCGCTCTCAAAAGGTCGCGAGTACTCTGGACGCCGAGCAGCTGGCACTGCAAATACCATTCCATTCCATGATACTCCCATCATGACCCTAGGATGGAGGATGGGCGCTCCATGATTCCGATGACGTCACGCGTTCGCGTGAGCCGCGTCCTCACGTGGCGATTCACCTAGCTGAGATGACTTTGTTTTGGTCGCTAGTCGGTCTTGTATTCGGCGAAGATGAGGTGACATTCCAAGGTTGTCGCGTCGCGTGTGGGTGAAAGAGGCTGGTACTGTTTTCCCCTGAGATGGCTGGACTAATGACGTCATCGATGCGACTCATGCACGCATGTGACAGGCAGGGCAGACCCGGAGCCCTCACACTCGACATGCGCACTACAAGCCCACCGCACTCACGATGTTGTTTTGGCGTGGACTAGAGCAGCGATGCAAATTTCATTAATCATCAAATATACACCAAAAGCTGACTACCCTAGGTATGTACCCGATCTCTCCTAGACCCACCCATTCAAAATGTTTGCGAAACATATACAATAAGCTCAATAATAAGTACTCATCACATCGTAAATGCACCGTCCACCTGCCATACTTCCCATCAGCAGTAGCTGCTCACTGCCCACCAACAGCGATAGTAAACAGCTTGGGGCTACCAGCAAAGATCGTGCCTGCCACATCTTGACCACCATCCGGAACAACGTCGTCATATGGGAAAGCATACCCACGCCCATCCTTCTGCATTTGATGAACGATGCGCGAGTAGTGGTTGGTCGTCGGGTCCTTGTAGTACTGGCTCGGGTTGCTGCCGTTGGGGAACTGGTTGCCAGGCGTGTTTAGCAGGATGCTTCGGTTGAAGGCCGCGGCAAGACGGGGGATGACTGCGTTACGCGCTTGGTTCGATCCAGTCGCGAAGGGACCGGTACTGCAGGTGAAGATATCCCTAGCTGACGGAGCAGCAAACTTTCCTGCCTCGCCTAGTTCGAGCTCGTTGCCTTGGACACGTCCCTTGAGGTTGCCGGCTGCGGCCTGGGTGTTGATGGTCATGTCTTCATTGCGGTACTTGTTCCACACTGCCTCGACGTAGCCGTTCCAGTAGTCGCCCCACGCATTCTCGTTACCGACAAGCAGGTTGTTCGGGCTCAATACACGCAGTGGCTGCCCGTTAGCCTCATAGATCAGCTTATCCCACGGTCGACCATCACGCTGGGCTTGTGCTCGCAGCTCTTCCATGATTCTCCTGAAGCCATCGGCGCCCATGCCAGGTACTGTTTGGGTCTTGCCGTCGTTGCTGGTCAAGCTGAGCGCAACAGGAATGCTGACAAAGTCGACGTAGCTAATGTTGGCGAACAGCTGCGCGTCGTTGTATGTGAACTCGCAGAAGGTCCAGTTGATGTTGAAGTTGGGGTCGCTGGGGTTGGTTACACTGGGCTCAACGACCGCAGGGCCTGGGTTGAGGAGGAAGGTAAGCTTTGCGCCGATACTGAACCAGATACGGCCACCAGCGATCTTGGGGATCCTGACATTGACCGTGTTACCAGGACGGCCAAGTGGAATGGCGACATCGGCTTGAAGTGGCTGTTGGATATCCTTAGGGGCTACTGGATAGTAGATGGACTGGCCGTCTGCTTGCACAAAGAGAGGGGTGTTGTTTCGTTCGAGAGCAAGGCCGGTGATGTAGCAGTATACATTGTCGGAGTTGGACTTGTTCTGCAGTGCCAACTGAAGAGTGCCAGGTGCGGCCTCAGCGAGTACTTGTTGCTGTTCGTTATTGGCTTGTGGAGCTGCTGCGCGCTTCTCATTGCCGGCGTCGGCGGGAGTGGGAGCGGGTGGTGCCGGTGCCGGATTATCCTCCTGCTTGCCCCGATTTTGCCAGCTCTGGCGGCGCTTGTTGACGAAGCTCTTGAACGACTTCATGATCACGTGGAGGATAGATTCCGAGTATAGTGATAAAGAAACGCGATGGTAGAGATAGGTATAATGCGAGTTACAAGAAAAAGGTAAGGAAAGCAGCGAATATCAACAATGTTGTAATTGCGCAAACCGCGAGTACGTCACACAAGATATATCCTCGTCCAGTTATAGTCAATGCACTTAACGCGCCAATGTCCTAGATTCCAAGGCGTGAATGCAGGGTCCAGCTGATGTCACACATGCGACGAGATTCCAGGGCGATCAAGGCACGTGCAAACCTGTTGCGATCGCCGACTCGCGCGCGGGCCTAACGTCAACAATTTCGCGTTAGCAACCAATCACATTTTCACAACCGACACCACCTTGTCGCGGCCCGATGGATGAGAATCCCATCTTCAAACCACGCGTGGCGCGCTCGTGGCATCTGAATCTGACACTTAAAACGCGGGGTGCAGTGTGCGTGGTATCTTGGGACTGGTATTGGACGGCGCCCGGTGGGCGGGTTAGTGTCGTAAAGGAAGGTATTAATGAGCGGTAAGCGGAAGTACGCGATGCTTTGCGGCAGTGTACATTGGAAGAGGCCCGTTTCGCCTACTTTGTGTCTGATCCAACGCCTATCAAACACCGGAATTGTCTGGGGTAATCACCGTATGCCACGCCAATACGGTGGAAACGCGTACAAACTATATTCCCCCAAAGTAAACGGCTATCGTACAGTCCGATGTAAGATGCTTTGTACAAGAGTGAGATCGGCAGTCTGATTCACATGCTAGGGCGAAAGGCCTCGAGGCATGCCCACGAGCTCGCAGACGAGTGATCTGTAATGCGAACAGCGCAACGGCGCGATGCAACGTCTTGCAGTGCGTCAAGTTGTCGTGGACAAAGTCGCGCATGACTGCCCGTGGCAATTATTCGACGTCCTGATACGGGGATCAGAACGGTGCTCCATTTCCAAAAGACATGCCAGTATAGTTGTTGTAGCTGTCCTCCCCCCAAATACCTCCCGCCATATCGAAGAACTGGCTCATGTCGAAGTCGGCACCCCTCATGAGCGTGAAGGGGTCATTGCTAACCTCGGTCACGGGGACGTGGTTCATGTCTATGCCGAAGTCTTCCATATAGTTGGTGCCTGCTAGCGTATTGTATTGATCTACCGCGTGTCGTGTCGGACACGTTGTTGGTGCGCTGGTGATGGGACATGAGCTTCCGTTCACACTCCGCTCAACCGAGTCGCTGGACGTAGATCCTGATGGCGTCTGGCTAGACCGCTCCGGTCGGATTTTGCGAATGTACCAATTCTTTGTCAGTTCATTAATCATTCGCATAGCGTGCCAGAAGTCGGGGTGGGGTCGCTTTGTTTTATCGAACGTCGATAGAGTATGCATCCGATAGCAAAGTGATTCAAGACAGAGATCTAGGCGCACTCTTTCTTGAGCAGCTTGAGTATCCCACCCGATGGCGGCATGGTCTTCACTGGGTATGCATAGCTTGGCGACCGTCATGATGACTGGTGGTAATCGCATCCATTCCGAGAACGATATGAGGTGATATTCGTGGGCTGGAAATGAAAGCAAAGTATCGAGAAAGCGCTTGCTGGCTTCAAGAGCGGAGAGTAGGCTGTTGATCTGTGACGAACGTACCGATGCCGGTAACTCCGAAGGAGACGGCCGAAGGGCTACGCTGTGCAGTTGCATCTTGGCGTATGAGAAGGAGAGTTCGAGTAGTCGTTGAGAGGGAACACCGTTGCACTCCCGTTTCCATGTATCGAGTTGTACATCTATGAATCGAACGTGCATCAACGCTCGCCCATCAGACATTGGCAGTTGCGAAGTGTTAGCTGTGAACAACTCATCTTGTACTTGGTCATCAATCTGCCGCAGAGATATCAAAAGGCCAATGGTCTCATCGGTTTCGTACTCGCGATCTTGCTTCAAGCTTTGCGCCCACTCGGTCATGGTTGAAGTATGCTTGAGCAGATTCGGCTTCTGTAAACCTGCCGCAACCCTGCTAGAGTCAGCATGCAAAGTCACAATCTGGTGATAAGAGCACATACATGGACGAAAGGTAATAACAGCCCAGGAAAGCACGGCGCCTTTCGCGCAGTTCTTCAGCTGGTGGTGGAGGAGCTGGAGGTCGCTTTGGCAACATTGGAGAGATCAAAGGCTGAAAGTCTTGGTGTAGGCCGATGTCTAGAGCCAAGCCTGTGACGAGATTATGTAAAAAGAAGATTTGTTGTGTTTTGTGGCTGAAGACAAAATGGTACCTGCGCAGATTAGTAGATTTTCGGCAATGGTGGGTACCATCCTACCATGAGAGATAGACCAGTACGCTTTGAACTAGGCCCAATGTCCTTCGGGGTTGCAAGATTGTTCTATTAGCGAGCTCTTGGCGAAAGATACCGTCAAGTGCCATCTGGCGTGTGTGATGTTCCCATGATGCCACCAAGAATATCGCGAGTGCAAGCATGGGCCTGTGCTCATGAAGCTGTCTTGCAGTGACTTGGGGCGGTATCATAACAAAAGGGAATTTGGCCGACATGTTTCGATACTCTTTCAGTAGTGTGTCTGCTTCGCCGGATGTGAGCAATTGCTGGACAACCTCATGCTCGATAGGAGCTTCGGGTCGTTTCGAAGTCCTAAAGATGCCCTCACGAGCGTTAGGAACATCTTCACGGTCGTCAAATCTGTGTATGTTGCGGATTTCCTCAAGATACTGTCGATCAACTTCGGCACTCTCTGACGCATCGTCGGTACTTTGGTCGGGCGGCACGGCGTTCGGTTCGTAGGCTGGTGTCGGCATCCAGCTACCCGGCGCCGTGTTGACTACTCCCCGATTCCGCCAACGCTCCGTTGCAATTTCTCTAGGAATTGGCTGCGATACATTTGCTGAGTCTGTTGTGACTTCACTGTCAGCCGCATGGACGAGCTTGGCTACGAGGCCGTCGATCTTTTGCTCGACCTGCGCGATTCGACTACGAATATCATGAGTTGAGATCGAAGTAGACGAGTAGCGACTTACGAAGGTGCACGTAGTTTCCTCGCTCTACGCGGCGCTTCGGCCCAGACACATTCCTTGCCAGCTGAGAAACATCTGGCGGATGGTCAGCGTCTTTGTAAAGACATGAAGATGTGGAGCCACGGCTAAAGTATCACGCTCCCATTGGCTGGCGTACCTCTGACATAGTCCAGATTGGGCGCTCGGCAAACGTGCATACAGTCCATCTGACCAAGAGCGCGCCAAGACATAGCATGCGCTAACGCAAACAGGTAATTTTTAAAATATAGTATACTAGCGTTATACTACCTAAGAGAATTAGCGCACTTAGCAATAAAATTTTTAATTTAAATAATTCTTAGATTTATTCTAAATTAATTTAGACTAGATTGCACCTATATTACAATATAGAGCTTTCTTTGCCTATATTTAACACTAAGTCTAAATTTCTTAACCTTAACGTATTAGACTTAGATATCTATAAGAGATTTAACCTATATTTATCTAGCTCTAGTAAAGGTAATAATAGTAGTATTAAAAACTAGGTTAAAGTGTGTAGTTAAATTAATTCTAGAATAATTCTAGACTTATTTAAACTAGAGTATAGTTTAACTTACTTCTAGAAATAGCAGCGCGCCTTTCTTAGAGACTAGAGTTATTAAGTATACTATATATCTACTCTAATACTCTAGTATAGACTCTAAAGGCTATACCTATATTATTTAAGTTTTAAAAGTAAATAGATAATATTCTTTAGTTAAGAGAGTATTGTAAAATACTAAAAGTATAAGTAGCCTACGTAGACTATTTCTAGATTAATTTAGAACTAATCTAGTATAAGTAGTTTTAATACTATAGAGCTAGCAAAGTAGAGAAGAAGAAGACTTTTAGCCTCTTCTTAAATTTAACTACTTTAAAATAGGTTTTTAAGTACTCTAGTATTAAGACGTATAAATACATTTAGAATTAATTATAGAATTTTACCTACTTATAAGTAGATAAAGGCTTATATAAGATACTTAGGTAGATAAAGACGTCTATAAACTAAATTAAGTAGAATAAAGAGAGAAAAAAGGCTAGAAGCTACTTTAATAGGCTTTAGTATTAGTTTAGAGATAGTATTTATACTAATAGAGAGGGTTTCTATAGTCTAGAGTTGTTTTAGGTAGAATTAATAGTATATATAGTTAAACTATTTCTAGAATAATTTCTAACTAATTCTAGTAAGTAATAGAGCCTACCTCTTAGTTTATTACCTATAGCAATTGCGCTCTAGGTAATATAGAGTACTATATCTAGAGAGTACTACTAAGAATTAATATTACCTACTTACAAGCTCTTCTAGATAGCAGAGTAGAAAGCTCTTATAAAAACTATAATATAGTTAAGCTCTAAATCTTGCGCCTAAAAGACTATAGTAAGTTCTTAAAGAATGTTTCTAGATTAATTCTAAACTATTTTAGGTACTAACTATACCTAGAGTTAAGGTAAACTTATTCTATAAGACTATAATATAGTAATTAACATTATTATCTTCTTATATTTTAAGCAGGTTCTATACTTTATAGTAGTTTTAACTAGTATATACTAGTATATACTCTCTCTACCTTAGTAGCTAGATATAGAATTAGTTAAGAATATAGTTTATATATTCTAATTAATATTAATACTAAACACTATAAGATATAAGCTATTTTGTAGATATTAATTCTAAATTATTTCTAAACTATTCTAGCTACCTTTTTATAGTCTAACTAGTTTACTTTCTACTTAAGGCAGCGTAGAGTTTTATTAATTAAGAAACTCTATACTACTTAGGCAAACAAAAACTACCTTGCAAGAATAGCTACTACTTAAAGGTTAATTACATTTTCTCTAGGCGCTAGCCTAGAGAAGGTTCTTTTTAAAAGAAGAGTAAACTATTCTAACTCTACTACTATAAGCGCTATCTAAAATGTTTTCTAAACGTTTCTAAATTAATCTATACAGGCATACATCTACTAAATCTTACTAGCTAGTAGAGGCTATATTATTATCTAAGTATAGAATAAGTAAGCTAAACTACTTATAAAATAAGAGACCTTCTAGGTAGATATATCTTTTAAGCGCTACTATAATAGTTAGAGAGAAATTCTTTTTACTACTATGCTAAAGAGCTATAAAAAGAGTATGCAAATTACTTTTAAATTAATCTATAACTAATCTACGTAGTTATTATATTTAGGCGCTTTACTACTAACGCTAAGTTCTCTAAGATATACTAAAAGGCATTTACTACTTTCTTCTAGACTATTAAGAAGCGTTTAGGTTAGCTAGTACAATAGCAGTATCTCTACGTACGTAGTTTCTATAGTATTACTATTAATATAGATACTAAGTAGATAGCTAGTAAGTTAAATTAATTTATAATTAATCTACGCTTATTTTAGCTTAGAATTTAGAAGGTACCTTGCTAGCCTTAACTAGCTTAATAAAGACTAGAAGTACTACTTTAGCTACTATATAAGATTCTGCATTATTTACTTTCTTTACACTATTAATAAGGCTTATTCTAGTATACTATATATTAAAGATTCTTTATAGAGTAGAATAAAGGCGCTACTTACTATAGTAAGCTAGGCTAAGTATTTTAAGTTATGTAATCTACTTATTAGTAAGTAGTTTAAATTAATTCTAAAACGTTTCTAAACTATTCTAAGAAAATGCTCTAATACCTATAGCTAAAGAATAGGTAAAAAATAAAAAGAACTTTATTATTACTATAGAATTAAACATACACTACAGTAGTATATCTAGAGCTACCTAGAATATACTAGAATTCTACACAAATACTGCAGAATAAGTATATACAAAGAGCTATCGCACTAGTCTAAGATATAAGCTTCTAGTTAGCATTAGACTATATATTAAATTAGTTCTAAATTATTTTATAACTAATTTTATACAGCGCTATATAAATAGACCTATAGAATATATAGAAATACAAGATCTATAAAAAGTATAGTGTTAGGCACAAATTAAGGTAAAATTTAAGCCTAAGTAGCTACTTTTACAATAATACAAGGTAAGAAAAAAGTAAGTATTTAGTTATCTATATATAGATTAATTCTAAACTGTTTAGAGCGCAAGAAATAAGAGAAAGAGAATAAAAAGAAAGATAATATCTTTAAATTACTTAAATTACCTAGGCTATTAAGACAGTAACCTTACTAGCGCCTAAGCTTCTAGCTAGCAGCGCAGCGCTTGCGTACATAGATATTCTAGTTATTATCTTTAGTCTTATTCTCTCTTAGAGCTAATTTATCGCTAGCTCTATAAGTATAACTATTTCTAGATTAATTTAGAACTAATCTGCGCAGAGAACACTCTAACCTAGATATAGACTTAGAAGAAGAAGAGCGTAAGCTTAAAAGAGAGCGTAAAAGAGCAAAACTTTAATAAGAAAGAAAGTTACTTTAAATCTAAACTAAGAAGGCTAAGTTAGAGCTCTAAGAAAAAGAGCTATAGGTTTACCTCTAGCGTAAATTAATCTAGAACTAGTTAAGAGAAAACTAGACTAGTCTTAGAATAGTTAGTATAATTAAAGAGTTTTTAGCACTAGATAAAATCTACTAAAACCTACCTTACTCTCTAATTCTATCTTTCCTACATTAAATATAGTAAGTAGAGTTCTTTCTAATAAGATTTATCTCTACCTAACTAATTCTAAATTAATTGCTAACTATTCTAGCTTGCGTATACTTAATATACTACTCTTACTATACTTCTACGTAGCTCTATAGAGTTTAACCTTAAGAACTTAGAGAGAAGATATATTATCTTCTATAGAGAACTCTTCTATTACGTAAAGTATAATAAAAGCTTTTTAAGTCTCTATAGTATAAGTCTAATAGTTACCTAGAACTCTTTATAGATTAATTCTAAACTAATTCTAGTAGCGCTATAAGAGAAGATTAAACCTTATTAAATATATTTATAAAACCTACCTCTAGTACTCTATTGCGCTAAATTCTGCTAGCGTAATACTTCTATAAATATACTACGCTACTTATTACTTCTTTTAAGAGGTAATAAAGCGCTATAATAACTCTAGAGTAGTAGAAGAGAATACTATTGCTAAGAAGTAGATTTAAAATAAACTTTAGAATTGTTCTCTAATTAATCTAGAGCTAATTTAACTTACTACCTAACTAGCTACCTTCTCTACTAAACTCTTATTAGAGGTACTACGCTTTGCATCTTTAAATAAGCAAAAAAAATAAAAAAAGAGTAAAATTAATTTCTAATTAGTTTACTACCTACTACTTAAAAATAACAAGCCTTTGCTATGTAAATTCTACTAAAGTAGAAGATTTAAATATAAGCCTCTTTTTACTATTTAAACTTTAATTAATATATATTTTACTTACTAAAATATAGCTTATCGCCTTTATTAATAGTGTTATAATACCTCTACTTTTTAAAACTTATAGAGAATATAATTAAAGTTATAGTTTTATTAAATTTATTTTATACATCTATTTATTCTTAAATTATTTCTTAATTGTTCTATAAACAATTCTACTATAGTTTTAATTCTTATTACTATTAGACTTAGAAGAAGTAGCTAGGCTCTTAGGCTTAGAGGTCTCTCTAGAAAAGTTATAGAAGAACTACTAAGAAGTATATATAGCAAACTTATTATAGAAGAAAGTATAGTCTAAATTTTATTAGAATTAATTAAGAAACGTTTAAGAAATAATTTAAATAAAGCTTACTCTCTAGGTTTTTAGCGTTAAGGCCTTCTACGTTACACTCTTAGTAAG